GTGAGTATTTTAGTGGAAAGTTGTCAACTTTTTAGGAATGAGCAGTTGACGAGGGCCAGAGCCTGTCTCTTGTCAGCAGTAGGACGTTTCCAGCTCTTAGGAATAGAAAGGAGGACTGCTGACTGTCTGGCACTGTATAAAAATGTGTATACCAATTTGGGAATAGGGGAACCCAGTCATGGATGGATAATAAGCCAAGTCTTGAATCATTCCTATCAAGATTAGTACACATGAGGAAGAGGTGGCATGGGGGGAAGGGGATCTAGGAGTTCAGAGCTGAGTGCTTGTACCTGAGGGGAGGGGCCTCAGCCGATCTGGGCTGATCCTTCTATATTCTTGGTCCCAGTTGGTCATACCACCAAGGGCTTTGCTCTGCGCTGCTTTGCCACTGCTGCTGTCCGCTCACTGTCCTGCCTGCTGCCCTCTACAGCTCCCTATCCTCCATGTCTTTGGCCATGTAGATTAAGTCTAGGCGTCCGGTTCATTCTTACCTGTGTTAGGCCACGTTATTTTATAGCAAAGTCATGTTGAATAGGGATGGTATGAAATGCTGCTGGTGGACTGGTGAATCCAAAGGGATATGGCTTCAGTGCTGTTGGGAGCCTTTTGGCTCCAAATGTCTGACTATCTTGAGGGAGAAACAAGCAGGTTTCTACTAGTGGTGTCTTCTGTTGTATTAATTTCTTTCCTTTGTGGTATCTTGTATCCTGTTTTAAAAACTAAATGAAGGGAACCACATTAGGGGCCCATGCCAGCATCCCAGTGAAGTTCGTCCAGCTCCAGTTAGGTGGATTCTGGAGTTTGAAGAGGGTTTAAAGTTTGGCTGAAATAGCACCTCAAGTGGGGTTTAGTTTTTTTTTTACTGGTGGGCATCATGAGCGATTTAGGGGGAAGCACAGGATGGTGGTGTGGTTTAAACCTGCAGCGAGCAGGCATATTGAAGAGTTGAGTGATCACACTGGAGATGAAGGGTTGGACATGGATTGACTGGGAAAAGGCCTGGGTCCGTTGGAGTAAAGACAACCTGGTTGATTGAATTGGCCATGGGAAGTTAGGTCACAGTCTTATAAACAAAGTAAATAGGACAGAGACTAAGTTTTAGGGAGACATCTTGGCCTCCTAGGCTAAGTTTACTAAACCACACTGAAGCTACAGTACCTTCCAGATGGGCAAAAGTGTACACTACAGTTGAGGAGCTGAACTTTATTAGGTTGGATGTTGATCAGGAACCTGTTTGCCCTTTGCTGGGAAGCCTTCACCCTCCATCTTCCCTGGGGTAGGGAAGGTCTCCCACATTATGCAATAATAAAATAAGCATCTGGGTCTTTGCAGCTGTCAGTTGCTCTTTCAACTCTAGGATCCATCTTTGGACCAGAAGCCTGGTCTGGGCCGATGATGACACTGGCCCCAGAGATGCTAGAGTCGACTGCACTCTCTCCTTAGCTGCAGACTATGCACAGTGCCTGGGGCGGAAGGAGGAGAGGTGTTGGAGTTTGCCCTGCTGCCTCCCCAGCAGGAACAATAGTCATAAATGCACTTTTCACACTAAAGGTTTCTTTATTAGTTCTCCAGTTAAACCTAGATCCCCCCTGGTAGATTGCGAACTCAAAGTCTTTGTGATCCCAAAGCCATTCCACTGCAAATGCCCAGCAGTGAAGATGGCCTCAAATTGGGTTCCTGCCTGCAGTGTGTGTGGCAGCAGCCCATGTGCCTTTACCTATTGTCAAACTTGCAAGCATTTATTTGTCTTTATGACTGTCATGGGGACTGAGGTTCTTCAGAGAGAGAGAGAGTGAGCTGATGACACAGTGGTTTTACACCCACCCCCTGGACAGGGAGTTTGCACGTAGTTGTGAGCTGTGAGTGGTTAGTGCATTGCTGGTATTGCTGAAGGCAGGGTTGATCCCTCACTTGATTGATACTTGCATTCAAGAGAATCTAGATTGTGTTGGGGGAGGGACTGACTGTACTCATGGCTAACTTAAAGTATTAAAATAAGGCTGTCCCCTACAACCTTCTTAGTCACACAGGATCCCTGTAGCCAAAACAGTATATGATCCAGCTGCAGAGAGCAGACTGCTCTCAGCTTGCACAGCACCTTAGGCGAGGGAAGAATATATGGATAGGGAATGGGGTGGAGAAAGGAGGATGGGAATGTTGTCATCCAGGTGGCTTTAGGGTCCTAAGGAATGGAGAAGGATGGCACTGGGGAGGTCTGGATGGATCTGTGTAGGAGTTCCCTGTAGATAAATTACTGATCCCCCATCTACTATCCCCAGTATGTAATGGCTGAATTAATATGTAATCAACTGCATTGTATCTAAAGCCTTAGAACTAGTCAGGTGCTCCCTCCACCCAATACCATTTCTTACCCTCTAATCCTACCTGATCTTTAACAAAGCATTAATAATTCTAAGGATAATCTCTATTTTGTTGTGCTTTTTTGTAACTGTTTTAAATAAATCAATTTGTACTGTATATTTGTACTTTTGTGAGATCCTTTTTGCTGTTTTACCATTTTAAGTCTCTGTACTTGGCTACACACAGATTGTATTTTTATTGTTAATGCTCTTCTTATGGATACCTGCATTTAACTTGTGGACTATGTAAACACAATATCTATCAATATCTATATATCTATATATCTATCTATATAAACTACTAGCTTTTCCTTTTGGTGTTTGCGCCTTCTTCCTATCCCAGCCTTAGATGGTGGCCATGGGGTGGGGGATAGAAACCTTTGTGGGAGCAGTTGTAATGGAGCACAAATGGTGCCTATATTGTGGGGTGAGCTCAAGGCAGATGGCATGATCTTATCCTCAAGCATGGTTTCTGCCTTCTGTTGGTGTGGATTTCGGAGACCCAGAAGTCTACCTGAAGACTTAGATTCTAGTGGAATCACAAGGATCTGTAGGCACCTTCACTGCTCGCCTTCTCCCCAATTCTTTACTCAGGAATACTGCCAGAAATTGTTGGAATAAGTCAGCCCCAATCATAGCTACTGCCTAAAATTTAGAAAACTTGCCACTAGTAAGTGGCATTTATGGAACACTTACTATGTGCTACAAAATATCCTAAGTGCTTTCTCTATATGGACAAGCATTTGTTGCTACTATTTCCATTTTGTGGGTGGGGAAGCCAAGACATAGAGGTTAAGTACTACTTCCCCAAAGTTACACAGCTAGTAAGTGGCAGGGTACTTCTGAACCCAGAGCTGCAACTCCTGAGTTGGTATGAATTCAGAGTTTCTTGTGAAGATTGAGATCATCTATGTAAAGCACTCAGAATCATCTTTGATGAGGACTCAAGTCATTTTAAAGCATCCCAAGTAGGACTCCAGTATGGAGCTCTGAGAGAAAGGCATTTGGGTCAATTAAGTAGTTTTTTTTGTTTTGTTTTGTTTTTTTTTTTTTTTTGAGATAGAGTCTCACTGTGTTGACAGGCTGGAGTGCAGTGGCACAATCTCAGTTCACTGCAGCCTCCACCTTGCGGGTTCAAGTGATTCTCATCTTCTCGTCCTCAGCCTCCCGAGTAGCTGGGATTGATTACAAGCACGTCAACTAAGTATTTTCTTTTAAATGTATTTTTCAAAACAAATATTTTAGCCTGCCTGGTGAAAGTAACCCTAGTTTGTTAGCTGGGCATGGTGGCGCACACCTATAGTTCCAGCTACTCGGGAGGCTGAGGCAGGAGGATCACTTGAGTCCAGGAGTTAGAGGTTACGGTGAGGTACGATCTTGCCACTGTACTTCAGCCTAGGTGACGTAGTGATATCCTTTCTCAAAAAAACAAACCCCAGGCAGGGCGCAGTGGCTCACGCCTGTAATCCCAGCACTTTGGGAGGCCAAGGCAGGTGGATCACCTGTGGTCAGAAGTTCAAGACCAGCCTGGCCAACATGGTGAAACCCTGTCTCTACTAAAAATACAGAAAGTAGCCGGGTGTGGTGGCAGGTGCCTGTAATCCCAGCTACTCCGGAGGCTGAGGCAGGAGAATCACTTGAACTTGGGAGGCGGGGGTTGCAGTGAGCCAAGATCATGTCATTACACTCCAGCCTGGGCAACAGAGCGAGACTCCATCGCAAAAAAACAAACAGAAAAACCCAAAAAACAAAAATCCTAGTTTGGTGGGGGTCAGTTGACACTTAAACAGCCTTGGACCTATGGAGGTCAGAGAGGAATCCAAGTTTCCCTGTTAAGATATTGGAAGAAGTCCACATTCCTGGCATAGTTATTTTTCTGGCTACAATTTAACTAGGGCACTTCCTTCTGGACCTCAAGATCTATAATTATCTAAACTGAACACAACCTTTGGTGCAGGCTAGGAAGGTTCTGTGCCTGTTCCGTACCATCACAGAAACTTTTTAGAAATGACCTCAGCTCTTGTCTCCTCCATGGTCTGGCAGCCGTACAACCTGCCAGAGTAATCATTTTGCCCCAGCCTTAACCACTATTGACCTGAGCTCTTACCACCTTACTTCTGGATTTTCTTCAGTGAGCTTATTTTCCTGCCTTGCCTCTGGTGAATAAATAAAACATAAATAAAATGCAAACATGAGTTTCTTGGTGCTGTGGACCTTAATATTGCAGCTATTTCTATGAGCCTATTCCTAGATGCAGCTGACTACTGTCTAGAATTGTAAATGTTCAACAAACAGTATTGCTGGGAAAAGTTGCACACCTAGTTGAAGGTATTGCATAGTCTTTAGAAAACACCAGTTATGAGGAGAGACTTCTGAGTTTGGAAGAGGTAAGCTAGGTTTAAATAGCCCTTGGGACCACAGGCATCACAGTCAACATCGGTTCTTTCTTTGGCGTCATGCTAATTCCTTGGCAACTTGTAAAGACCCAAATGAGGACCTCTGCTTGGACAGCCTAAGCTGAGGAGCACCCTCCCTAAGAAAAGGGCAAGCCACCAGAAGCCACTGTCTGAAAATTTCCACCCAGGTTTCTCCTAGATCACTTCATTTGCTAGAGAGACATTGAGAGAAAAGCAAGAAAGGGGCAGTAAAGATAAAATTAATTTATTTGACCTCACAACTTCATGGGCCATACAGGAGCCCCACAGTCCTAGAAGCACGGCCTGTGGCAGTGGGCTGGGGAGGCCAGTTCTCTGGACTGCCTGCTCCCTTGTCCAGAGCTGCCTTGGGCCAGGTCCCTCCTGACCCCGTCATCCTGCTCCCACATGCAAGGGCCGTTCAGGTCCACCTGCAACAAACCCAGGCCTGCCTCTGGCAGCAAGGACAGGGCCTCGTGGGTGGCAGCAGCACTGGTCCTCGTGGCTGTGAGTGTGGGTGGGTGGGTGGGTAGGTGGGGAGGAGGGCAGTCAGGAGGGTGTGGTTCAGTGCAGAGAGCTGCTGTTCTGCTCTTCAAAGGCCATCTTGCCCAGAAGTTGGCTGTCCAACTCCACTCCACTTACAGGCAGCTGGAAGAAGTTCATTTCAGCTGCTAAGGCTGCCATGGCAGAAGGGTCCTGGCCAAACTGAGCTCGCAACATCATGTCCATTTTCTCCAGTCTCCTCTTGAGCCGCTTGGCCTCTCGCTCTCGGATGAGCCGGGCCTGCCGCTTTTCTGGGGTTTCGTTGGCCCGCTTCAGCCTCATGGCCTCCCGATCCCGCTGCAGCCGGCGTGCCCGCTGCTCATCTGTCTCCTGCATGCGCTGCAAGCGCTTGGCTTCACGGTCCCTCATGCGCCTCACCTCCCGCTCCTCAGGGGTCTCATTGTCCCGCCGGCTCTTCTTGGCCGTGCGCTCTCGTTCCAGCCGCTGCAGTCGTACTTCCAAAGGCTCATTCTGTCGACGTAGGGCCCACTTGCGTACACTGGGAGTCTGGGCTTCCAGCAGTTTACGGTAGGCAGCACAGTTGTTGCACACAAGCAGAATTCCAGCAGGGTATACTGGAGGACTAAAGGCAATGTCCTTTCCCTCAGCACTAGAGGGGCCTTCATTGTGGACTGTGGGTAGGGATTCCATATTGAGTACTTCAGGAAGTTTCTCACTGGAAAGCAAACATTTTGGATGGTTAGTGTTTCCTTCCAGCAAGAGTTGGGACTCCAGCCCTGCCTTATTCTTTTCCTATGAGGCCAGTGGCTCCACGTTCACCACAAGGGGTCAGTTTGAATGCTTGGTGGACCTCTTCTACTGCTCCATCCCTTCTCTTTGCTCAAGAGTTGTCTACCAACTCTATTTTTTTTTTTTTTTGATACAGAGTCTCACTCCGTCGCCCAGGCTAGAGTGCAATGGCACAACCTCGGCTCACTGCAACCTCCACCTCCTATGTTCAAGCCATTCTCCTGCCTCAGCCTCCTGAGTAGCTGGGATTACAGGTGGCTGCTACCACGCCTGGCTAATTTTTGTATTTTTAGTAGAGATGGGGTTTCATCACATTGATCAGGCTGGTCTCAAACTCCTGACCTTGTGATCCACCCGCCTAGGCCTCCCAAAGTGCTGGGATTACAGGCGTGAGCCACCGCACCCGGCCGGGTGTCTACCAACTCTTAAAGCCCATCTGGAGTTAATGACTGAGCCACCTGCCACAGCAACGCACCAGAAATCAGACAAACCCTAGGCGTTTTCACTCAAGTCAGAATAATGGTTTTGATAAGAGCTTTGCAGGGGCAGTCCTGCTGTGGGAATGGAGGCTCCTGGAGGTGGAGACCTCCTTCAGGCAAGGTGCAGACCACCAACTCACCTCCTTCCCGTGTGCTGCCTGCATGCAAAGGCAGACACTGCACTGTTCACTACACAAACGGGACAAGGACACAACGTTCCAGTCTTCCTAGGACATGGAGGAGACTGCGTCCTCATGCCAGGGTCCTCTCCACCCTATAACTTCTTTCTCCATGCTTTATCATGAGTGTTCTTGGAACTGCCTACATCGCTTTCTAGTTGAAGATATTCTGATGGGAAAAGAAATGGGAATTCACTTTCCTTTGGGGCTATGTGGTGGAATAGGCATACTTCCTAGCCTTCTTACTTGTACTTCCAAGGAGCATGCATCAGCTGTCTGTGCATTACCTATGCCTAGCCTTCGTTTTGACTTCAGAAAGCAGAACTCACACCCAGTAATTTGCTCCCAGCACAACAGGGATAAGTGCCCAGCTGACCTGTTAAAAGTGGCATGGCTGGTGAACCGGGCTCCACACACAGCACAGTTAGAACGCTGGTCCTCCGAGTGGATTAAGAGGTGGCGACCCAATGACCCCGGGGAGCTAAGGGCCCGGCCACAGACAGGACACATGTAGCTCTTGGCGCTCACCACTGCTGCAGTGTGCTGTAAAACAGAGCCTTGATCTGTCAGTCTTGTGCTACCTCCAGGACAATCTGCACCCACTTAGAAATGACTTTTGGGAAATGTCCCCTTTCTTTAGTCTCAGAATAAGGAACTTGCAAGTATTCTGTTTAGCCCCTAGAAAAGTCAGTCTCTTACATTAGAGGCCCTGGCCATTTAAACCAGTGCTTAGATTTCATTAGCTTGAGCTCTGCCTACATTCTGGGACATGTGGCTGACTTAAGGAACAGTGGGGGCCAGGCACGGTGGCTCATGCCTGTAATCTCAACACTTTAGGAGGTCGAGGCAGGTGGATCACAAGGTCCGGAGTTCGAGACCAGCCTGGCCAATATAGTGAAACCCATCTCTACTAAAAATACAAAAATTAGCCGGGTGTAGGGGCAGGCGCCTGTAGTCCCAGCTACTCAGGAGGCTGAGGCAGGAGAATTGCTTGAACCTGAGAGGTGGAGTTCGCAGTGAGCCAAGATCATACCACTGCACTCCAGCCTGGGTAATAAAGTGAAACTCTGTCTCCAAAAAAAAAAAAGAAAGAAAGAAAGAAAAAGAAAAGAAACAGTGGGGCACCAGGGCCCTCTTCAGAGCCTGAGAGGAATTCCTGTCTCGAATAATTTCTCTCTGTCTCCCTGGCTCACACTGTGCAGGTACAAATACGTGTTAAGGGAACAATAAAGGCCAAATCTTGAAGCTGGCCTAGAATACGGGTATGCAACAGGTATTTATATCTTGCTTTCTCAATCTTCTGAAGATAGTCTTCTGAAGAAATACTGGTTCACACCAATTTTTAACATACCATTTGTGTTAAAATTTTTTTTTTTAGACGGAATCTCGTTATGTCACCCAGGTTGGAGTGCAGTGGCACAATCTCAGCTCACTGCAGCCTCCGCCTCCCAGGTTCAAGCCATTCTCCTGCCTCAGCTTCCTGAGTAGCTGGGATTATAGGCGCGTGCCACCACAGCTGGCTAATTTTTTTGTATTTTAGTAGAGACAGGGTTTCACCATGTTGACCAGGCTGGTCTTGAACTCCTGACCTCAAGTGATCTGCCCACGTTGGCCTCCCAAAGTGCTGGGATTACAGGCATGAGCCACTGCGCCTGGCCCATGCCAACTAATTTTCTTTTCTTTAACACAAAGCCCTTATTATTAGTATACATTCGTTTCTATTTCACTATTTAAAATATGCATTAAATAATTTAGAAAAAAAATCACTTAATTTTCACAGTGTGTCTGCCCGGAAACCCAGAACGTGTTTATCTAATATATCTCATGTATTTTCTAAAATGCTGGAAGCTTGCAGCAGAATCTTTTTTTTTTTTTTTTTCTTTTTCAATACAGTCTCACTCTGTCACCCAAGCTGAAGCATGATCACTGCAGCCTCAACCTCCTAGGCTCAAGCTATCCTCCCACCTCAGTCTTCTAAGTAACTGGTACTACAGGTGCATGCCACCATGCCCAACTAATTTTTAAAAAATTTTTTGTAGAGCTGGGGTCTTGCTATGTTGCCCAGGCTGGTCTTGAATTCCTAAGGTTAAGCAATCCTTCCCACCTCAGCCTCTCAAAGCGCTGGGATTCTGGGTGTGAGCCACCACGCCTGGCTTTGGGCCGAATTTTTTTTTTTTTTTTTTTTTTTTTTTTGAGACAGAGTCTAATTCTGTCACCCAGGCTGAAGTGTAATGTTGTGATCTTGGCTCACTGTGACCTCCACCTCCTGGGTTCAAGCGATTCTCCTGCCTCAGCCTCCCGAGTAGCTGGGACTACAGGTGCATGCCACCACATCTGGCTAATTTTTGTATTTTTGATAGAGATAGGGTTTCGCCATGTTGGCCAGGCTGATCTTGAACTCCTGGACTTCAAGTGATCCACCCGCCTCGGCTTCCCAAAGTGCTGGGATTACAGGCGTGAGCCACTGCGCCCAGCCTCCCTAAGACGAATCTTAATGGAAGCGACAACCCACGACTCCTTCAGGAGCCAGAGAGAGACAAAGGCCAAACCGGGATCTGGGCTACAGACAAGCTGCCCACACTTGTGTTCCAGAGCACATAGCTCCCCGATGCATACCTGGTACACATGAGCGATCAACTGCTCCCGGCTCCCGCAGTCTAGCTGGCAGAGGGGACACTGGCAGAGTTCAAGCAAGGGGTCAGAATTCAAATTCCCTGTGACCTGTGATTCAACAAATAGGCAACTCATTAGGACTATCAGGACTCATCTCTTCCCTGCCCCAGCTTTTTAAACAGGATATCCTGTTAAAAGGAACCCAGACTGATGGCACATGTTATCCTTAGTTTCCCATTGTGGGCTGAAGGAAAAAGTAATAGTTGAAAGGGAATTATGGCTTTCAGCCACGAGGACACAGGATTGCCTCAGAGAGAGTCAATCTATTTTTTTCCCTGAAGATAAACTCTGCAGACAGGGGTAGTGTTTTTCCCGTCATGTTCCTTTCAGGAATCCTCAGGAAACAAGTTAGTGAGAAGGTGGCACTCCAGGTGACACCTTGACTTAGATTTGCAAGCACGTTCAAGAGTCCACCTTGGGAAGTCAGCTTTCTACTTCACCAAAGTAGCTCTCCTGTCTGGAAAGATGTGAGGAGCTGCAGGAAAGAGAGCTGTGCACAAGCGCAGTGATTCATGGATGGAAAAGGAAAGCTGAATGTGGTGAGAACTGAGAGTCTGAGGTGTGGGTTCTGGTGCCATGAAGGAAGAGGCCTCCTGTGCAGGCCCAGGAGACCATCAGAGGCAAAGACTGTGCCACAGGGGTGAGCAGCATAAGGGTAGGCAGAAGGGTAGGGCATTGTTGAACCTGGACCCAGGGGCCACTGTCACTTGCCTCGTGCTCTACCACTTCGTTCCCACCAACAGGCTGCTGTGTATTTTCTAACTCTTTCTCCACTTTGACCACCCCTCCATCTTCCTCTGATGTGTGGGAAGAGACTTCATCTTGTGTGGTCTCCTCTTCATCACCCTCACTGTCACCTGGAACACATAAACTGGTTACTTGTTCTGATTTTTGCATGAATACATCCTGAGCTGCTCTCCACCCTACAGTTGGCAGTTATAACAGAAAACATTTTCAGATCTTCCATAATATAGTTTATACAGTGTTGTTGGGTACATATTATGTCAAGTGGAAACCAGCTATAGCTGTCATTTGTTATGCCATATACACGTAAAGGGAAGATGTGAGGCAAAACTGCACTGGAAATGGTTACTGTGCCCTCAATATGATTATAAAAATAATCTTCCTGACTCATGGTTTTCAAATATCTCACACTTCAAATCACACCTCCCCAAGCACCTTACACCGAGCTCATTCCCACTGTACACCACCTCTGACTTACCAACACTTTCCACTGATTTTGCCATGAGCCCCCTGCACAACTTCTCCATGGTGTCACTATACTGTTCTACTCTGAACCCCACTAATCTCTTCTTTCCCAGCAAACCCCAAGGCAGACTTACAGAAACATCGAGTTTTTCTTCCCTCTTACCAGCAAAGGAAGCAGTAGGAAATTAGTTTGAAATGATGTCACTTTATAGGGAAAGGGCTGCTCATTACAGTGAAAAAATTAGCACAGCAACCAACCTCAGGCACTTTGCAGTGGTATCCGACTCACTCGGTTCTTACTCTACTATTGTAACACGGCATTCTGAACTACGTAAATCCGCTGTTTCTGTTGATGATTTGGATTATCTGATGGGTAACTCCATGCATTAAGTGGAAAGAACGGGCCATTCTTTAGGATGAAATGTAATTTATTGTGACTAACATAGGAATTGAGTTAAGTTTTAGTTTTAGGGGTAGGATGTGGCTATGGGGAATTCCCCAGCCACATGTGCGCTGATTTTTCTTCTCTATTACTTATAAAATAGAAAATGAAAAAGGATCCGGAAAACAAATAACAAATGTAGTTCTTTCTGAAAGGGAAACAAATAAAGTGCTAGTACCTTGAAGATCACAAGAGGTAGCCAAGCCTAGGGAAGCTGTCACACTCCAGCCCTATCTTAACCCCACCTGGATCCTGGACTTCTGGGCCTGATGTGAGCAAGAGAGAAATATAGGGCAGAGTCTCACCAGGCTGTCCACATGAGACTCAGATTTCCTAGCTAACAGTGCTGCCTGTCTTCCTACTACCCCTTGCATAATATCTAAATCCACCAGTATGTGAGCAACACCCCTTATATTTCCCTTCTTCCTTGGCAAAACTAGTTACACTCCCTTTCTTCATGAGAAGGTCTAACCAAATCATCTGCTAGTAGTTACATGTGTCCTTATTAGATACTCCAGGCAATTGGTGGACTGGATTTGGGGCCTGGAAAGAGCTATGGTTTGTGTGTCTTATTCCCTAGCCCAAAGTTCCTTTCATTGGAATCCAACTCAATAATGAAGGATGGGCACAGATTAGATCACACCATGTTTTCTCACCAGCTTATTTGAAATACTTGTAAACTTAGTATAATATAAAGTGATGTATCGAACATATTTTTGTAATTTTGCAATAATCCAAATATATGTCGCTACTAGAAAATGTTTTTAAATATGTGTACTGTCTAGAGGGATAGTACATCCTTCAGAATGGAAACCTATTAGACTTTTGCAGATATTGTAATTCCTACCTGCTACTCAAGAAAGTGGTGGCTTCCATAGGTTTGGGTTCATTTTTCTGTGCCCGAGCAATTAACTGCTAAATTATTTTATGTTGTTGATGTTGATTAATTATTAGCTTGGGTGGAAAAAAGTTCCTAGAAGGTTGCAGAGTCCTCTCTCCGTTTTCACCCAACCCAGCCTCAAATGTGATGAAAAACTGGAAAAGTCATTCTGAATTCATACTAATAATAACCTATATCAAATGGATGAAGTGGGGAAAGTGCTGAAATCTTCCTAGGAAAACACATCTCAAGACGTGTTTGTTCAGACAGGTCACAGGACAGACAGACAATCCATGAGGCTCAACTTATAACAGCTACTGTCTTAACCACAGGGCTTTTCTTAGGGAACTGGTATGGGAAGACCTTGATGTTAGCATTTTATATACTGCATAACCTCATTACTAAGCAAATCTTCTTGTTTCACATTAAAACTGGGCCTTCAAGCAAGGTTTCATTAATGCCACCCTTATATTTTATTGATTACAAATACATAGATCCTAGGAGACAGGGATTTTTTTCTTGTCATTTGACCTAACCCAGGGACTGCTAGAGCACTATTTATTCCTATATCATTGCCTATCACAACTGACACACCTATCTGCATGTGGCACTGTGCCAAGTACTGTAGTCCATAAGCTAAAAACATACACATTGGCCAGGCGCGGTGGCTCACGCCTGTAATCCCAGCACTTTGGGAGGCCGAGGCAAGTGGATCACCTGAGGTCGGGAGTTCGAGATCAGCCTGACCAACATGGAGAAACCCGTCTCTACTGAAAATACAAAGTTAGCTGGGAGTGGTGGCGGGTGCCTGTAATCCCAGCTACTCAGGAGGCTGAGGCAGGAGAATCGCTTGAACCTGGGAGGCAGAGGTTGCAGTGAGCTGAGATCACGCCATTGCACTCCAGCCTGGGCAACAAGAGCGAAACTCCATCTCAAAAAAAAAAAAATTAGATATATATATAAATAAAATGCCAAACCTGTCCTCTTTTTCTGGATAAACATATGCCCACACACCTTAGACCACCTTTGGGGACACTGAGGAGCCACATATCTCCTTTTTCATGTCTTTCTCCCAACCCCCATGCACAATCCCCAGAGCACACACACTCTGATAATTCTTCTCCCATTGCCCTGAGTCATTACCAGAAGGTGCAGAACTCACTGCTACTGGAGTCCTGATCTCTTAGTTGTTGGATAGCTTGTCGCTGACTGCCAAGGTCTCCAGGAAAATCAGTTTTCATCATCGCCTGGCGGGCTTGCTCTTCTAGCCCAGCAAATACTTGATCCCCTGGTGGTCACAAGGAAAAATAGTCAGGCCACCAGCTGGGCAGCATATCCCCAGGCAAGCTGGTTGGAAGGTCAGACCATTCAAAGGTAGGAGACAGGCAGGTACCCTGTGGTGGAGTCATTCATCTCCAAGTCAGCTTGCTGCCTCCAACAGCTTCTGGGTGCAGCCGCTCTTCCTGGGCAGTAAGCCAGATGCTCTAGAAAGCATCACTTGCTCCTCTTAAATCCTCCTAGTCTTGACTCCTTTCAAAAGGTGATCAACTTGCTACTTCACAAATGTAACTGCAGACTGTCAAATCCATTTACAACCTTCCATCAGGATTGGGAGGATAGAGGCAAGAAGGGGCAAAGTGATGGGATAAAGACAGGGCAACAAATCTGGGCCAAGTCTCTGTACCTTAATGTACTAGCATTATGGTCTTGACTCAGTATCTTATCTCTGACTATAAACAAGTGCTTCAAATCATCCTTCTAAATAACAATCTCTCTAACCCCATCTTTCATCCACTCTCCTTCCAAAACATACTCTGGAAGTTCTTCCTTGACTTTCTTTCTAATGTTTATCATAATTAGCCATGAGAAAATTAACAACCGGTTGATAACTAGACTAGAAGAATAGATATGAACTCACTTCTGCAGAAGAACAAACTTCCTGAAACACACTAATTTACAACAAAGAATATTCATGTAGTCTTCTTGGCCCCGTTTTTTTTTTTTTTTTTTTGGAGACAGAGTCTCACTCTATCACCCAGGCTGGAGTGCAGTGCCAGCGCCCACCTCCATGCCTGGCTAATTTTTTTTTATTTTTTAGTAGAGATGGGGTTTCATCGTGTTAGCCAGGATACTCTCAATCTCCTGACCTCATGATCTGCCCACCTCAGCCTCTCAAAGTGCTGGGATTACAGGCATGAGCCACCGCACCCAGCCAGTCCAGTTTTTTTTTTTTTTTTTTTTTAATGTAGTATCCCGAAGCCCCGAACCGATCCTTGATTTTACATTTACTTCTCGTGACCTCTGCTTGGGATCCATGTGGCTACTGAAGAGTTAGTATAGTGCCCTTTTATTTCCAGGAGACCAAGCATAAGGAGAAAACAGAGTTGGGTTTCTTGAGGTTTCTATTATCTCAGTCAGAGTAGAAACTACAGTCTCCATTCACCAGTCAGCAAGAGGGAATAATAAAAAGCCCTAGTGAAATGTCTGACAATAGCCAGGCCCTTTCTTGCTGAAGAGAGGAGGGAAAGTACACAGGCTCAGGTTCTGAGATAAGATACAATGATGTGGGAGGAACTAAATGGTGAGCTGACCTGCACTCCTAGACCTTGGGGAGTGAAAGACTTGATGTGGAGTAGGCTTCATGTGATCCCCTTAGTCATTCGTTCAGCAAATATTCATTGGGCATCTATTATATACCAACTACCAAACACTAGTAATAGTTTGACACTTGCAAGTTCCAGGCTCTATGGTAAGTGTTTTATAGTTATCACCTTACCTAAATTCTCTGCAAAACTCTATGTGGTAGATATTACTACCTATACTTAAGAGAAAACGAAGGTTAACAGTGGAACCAAGTATTCAAACACAGATCTAACTCTAATGTCCTTTTCCTTCTTTTTCTTTTTGAGACAGGGTCTCATTCTCTCCCCCAGGCTAGAGTGCAGTGGTGTGATCACAGCTTATTCCAGTCTCAACCTCGCAGTCTCAAGCAATCCTCCCACCTCAGCTTTCAGAGTAGCTGGGACTACAAGTGTGCACCATCATGCCTGGCTAATATATATATATTTTTTGTATAGACAGGGTCTCACTGTGTTGTCCAGGCTGGTCTGCAACTCCTGCTCTCAAGGGAACCCCCTACCTCGACCTCCTAAAGTGTTGGAATTACAGGTGTGAGTCACTGCGCCCGGCCTGATGTCTATATTCCTTAACCGCCTTCTAGTAGAGATGTAATTAGAAGTTCAGAAGCTTCTTCAGATGGTTTTGCTGAAAACAAATACTTATCTCTGTGTGAGAAAGGCTCTGATCCTATTGTTAGTGTTTCCTTCATACCATGATAAACTGATACATACAACTCAAATAGCAAAAGTATATTATCAGGGCCAGTATATGACCAAAGGAAAAATGATGGTTCTGATATCACATCATGAGTTATCATGCTTAGATTCGAGTAACTAACATTATGGCTATTATGACTCATACTGTGATTGGGAATGGAGATGGTTCATGTTAAAGTGTACTCTTAGCTACCTACCCTCAAGGAAAGGAAAAATAAGCTGTTTTAAGTCCATCTTCACAATATCCAAGATGACACATTGGATATAAATCACTCGGTAGAGAAAGCAAAAAAATGAATTCAGTGGGGAGTACTTCCTTATCCCTTTGCAGAAGTGAAATACTTAATATCTCCGTGTTGGTTACAGTGCAACAAGACCAGGGCCAATTGATACTTTCTTTTTTTTTTTTTCTTTTAAATGAGATAGAGTCTCAGAGTGGAGTGCAGTGGCGTGATCTTGGCTCACTGCAGCCTCTACCTCCTGTGTTCAAGCGATTCTCCTGCCTCAGCCTCCTGAGTAGCAGGGATTACAAGTGTGTGCCACCATGCCCGGCTAATTTTTGTATTTTTAGTAGAGATAGGGTTTCACCATGTTGGCCAGGCTGGTTTTGAACTCCTGACCTCAAGTGATCCACCTGCCTCAGCCTCCCAAAGTGCTGGGATTACAAGCATGAGCCACTGTGCCTGGCCAAGGGCCAACTGGAATAGTTACTGAATTATTTGGGGTAGGTGCATGTTTTCAGACCTAGGAGCCATAGGAAGACATAGCACTAAGGAACAAGTTATATACTAGCATATAATTATCAAGGGGAAGACCTTTCTCATCAGTGACACTTCTGATCTCCAAAGAAACTTAGAAACCAGCTAGATTTAGAACATACTAAGAATAAACATTCTATCCTCTTTCTTGGATTCACCACTGGATTAGTAAAAATACATCTAAAAGGATATATACCTTTCAAGATGAGTCAGTAACTCAGTTTCGTCTCCAACTTGAGCTCAAAATTTATTTTCTTCTATTGATGTTGTCTAAATATTGAGGCTTTCATGGAACAGAGAGCAGTCTGTTCAATACAACTTGCCTATCTAGGACTCTTAGGCAGTCTCACCTGGTGTAACCGGGATAAGTTAATTCTGTCATTCCTTTTTGGCACTTGAGAAAGAAAAGCTTGTGCTCTTATATTTTAGTCTATTCCTGACTTGGGAAAAAGAATAAGGTGAACTTTATTCCTCAGGACTATTCCTATTTTAAACATCACCATAAAGCAAAATATATAAAAACCATAAAAAAGAAGCCATTTTAGCAGACCTCATATGAAAAGATATGTGAATTATCTTCCACTAGTTACTACTTACCTAATCTCCAAATAAAATTCTCCAGAATTATCCCTTCATGAGAAGGGAGTGAGACTTGCTAAAAGCATGTCATGTTAACTGCCATATAATGTGATCCATGGAGATACTAGTGATTAAGAAGTGTTACAGAACTGCCTATTTTTACAATGTTAGAATTATTATTCCCTTCTGTCTTGAGACCTTTGGAGTAGGTTTTAAAAAATCCTCTGGTCCCTAGATATTAATGTAGGGCAACCATCTTATTTAATATGGGTATTTATTTGTCTATTAATAGCTAAGAGTCAGCTACACTCCCACAATAAAAACCAAGGTGCTCTCTCTTTTTTTTTTCTTTTTTGGATACAAAATCAAGAAAATGCTGTTTGTCTGCGATTTGGTTAAGGTTTTTCCTTCTTCTGAAACAGAGTTTTGCTCTGTCACCCAGGCTGGAGTGCAATGGCGCAATCTCGGCTCACTGCAACCTCTGCCTCCTGAGTTCAAGCGATTCTCCTGCCTCAGCTTCCCAAGTAGCTGGGATTACAGGCAAGCACCACCACGCCCAGCTAATTTTGTATTTTTAGTAGAGACAGGGTTTCTCCATATTGGTCAGGCTGGTCTCGAACTCCCGACCTAAGGTGGTCCACCCGCCTTGTGCTCCCAAAGTGCTGGGATTACAGGAGAGAGCCATTGCGCCCGGCCTGGTTAAGGTTTTTCAGACCAGATAAGAACAAGGCCATGCAAGCAAGTTTGGAGAACAGATAAGAGGAATGATATGAAAGTTATTAGAAAGGCAAAGATTTTACAGTTCTCTCTTGGGTCCTTGGTGCAGTTAAACAAATGTTATTTCAAGCTGACTACAATTAAGTAAAGCAGCTGGAACATTCTTTAAGAGAGCAGATAGGCTGGGCGTGGTAGCTCACGTCTGTAATCCCAGTACTTTGGGAGGCCGAGGTGGGTAGATCACGATGTCAGGAGATCGAGACCATCCTGGCTAACATAGTGAAACCCTGTTTCTACTAAAAAAATACAAAAAATTAGCCGAGCGTGGTGGCAGGCACCTGTAGTCCCAGCTACTCAGGAGGCTGAGGCAAGAGAATGGTGTGAACTCAGGAGGTGGAGCTTGCAGTGAGCTGAGATCGCGTCACTGCACTGCAGCCTGGGTGACAGAGCGAGACTCCGTCTCAAAAAAAAAAAAAAAAAAGAGAGCAGATATCCAGTTCAGGAAAAATGAGCTAGTATTGGGAGTGAGGAGCTTAGGATTTCATTTCTAGCTGACAGTCTTTGTAACCCACAGTGCTATCACAGGTGGGGAACATAGCCATTTAGTTCACGAGGATGCTAACAGAATGAACAAAAAAAAAAACACACAAAGTTGCGCTTTTTATAAGAGAAAGGACTTCAAAGGCTTTTATTCCTCCTTCTCTTTGTAAAGCTTTTAGTTGAAGCTGAGAGGTTTAAGTCACTCATGTGTTTTGCAATCTGAAAGCAAAAGTCTCTCAAGTAAAAGAAGTTTTCATTTTCTTAGTGGTTTGGTTAGTTCAAACACATCAAATGAAAGTGTGCAAGGGACTATATTTTCAGCCTTACTACAAGTAGTTGACAGAAATGTGTACTAAGGG